GTGTGTGTGTGTGTGTGTTCAGGGTGTTGCGGGAGCAGTGGATAAGAGCAAAGTACGAGAGGAAAGAGTTCTGTGAGCCGGGGAAGAATTTCACTTATGAGGAAGGTAAGTGTGTGTGTTTACCTACATAAACTACACCTGTGTTAATAAATGACCTTTTATCGTTCTCCTGCAGGAACTAGAGACGGCCTGTTGATGAAGAGAGGGCGGGACAACGGCCAGTTCCTCAGCAGGCGATTCGTCCTCTCAGAGCGGGAGGGGACTCTGAAGTATTTTACCAAATATGACGTAAGCAGCACACACACACACACACACACACACACACACACACACACACATACACACACACACTTTACCTTCTCAAGCCCACAATACACCTGAACACTCCTTTAATTAGAAGGTTAATGTAGTTTGAGGTTCTCTTCACACACACACACACACACACACACACGTAACCACATCACTGATACCTTAATTAAAAGACACTTTAAAGACATAAAATAAATCGAGACAACACCCCCAACATATATGTGCTGCAGTATTTTTACACACAGTTAATTTACATACCCATACGCACATACAAAACCACTTGGAAATGCTGCGTCTCCCTGCACCTCTGTCACTGCGGCTGATTCACTAAGCTCCACGCCACCCGAACCAATTAGGACTGGGAGCACTTTGTTTGTCACAGTGAAGCAGCTCAGGAGAGGTGGGAACACTTTATTTAAAGACAGGACACTTAACTAATGCTTTAGTTTTTTATTTCTCCGCCTCCGCAACAGCCAGTGGCCGGAGACGTTGTGTTTTTTGTGTTGTCCCCTCGTCCGTCCCACTTTTCATGATATCTTAAGAAACCCCTCGAGGGAAACCGGGAGAGTCGACGAGAAAAGTGTCGAATGTAATCTGCTGTGAAATATCTTGTATAAACAATCTTTGTTAAAGGTGAGATAAAGAGCCGAGGATTCAAACTCACAGATTCTGGTCACAGATTCCGATTTAGATTCACATCAGGAACCCACACAAAAAGGTTTTCAGTGTTTCAGACATGATGGTTATCGACGGTGCAGGTGAAGATAACAGTAATGGATCTTATTTTCATGGTTCAGAGTTTCAAAGAGCACAGGATACAGCCCCCGGCCCTGATACCATACACACACCTTCACTTGATAACTAGACTTTTATTAGGAAGCACAAAACTTCACAGAAAAGTTCATTTTCAATATTAATATTTAAACAGAGGGAGGTTTATTAAATAGACTGAGTTCATTAGATTCTTAAATACGTTAAATTGTTTTATTTATAAATACATTTTACATAAACATCAAGCCTCACTTACATTTCTCTGTCGTAAGAGTTTTAGGAATAATTTTCTAACAGGTAAATATTGGCCAATATATCGGTATAATACATTTTTTTAACTCCCGAATATATCGAAATCAGCCAATGTTCACATCGGCACACACATTTCCCCCTCCTCCTCTTCAACATCCACATCCTCCTCCTCCTCCTCCTCCTCCTCTTCTTCAACATCCACATCCTCCTCCTCCTCCTCCTCCTCCTCTTCTTCAACATCCACATCCTCCTCCTCCTCCTCCTCCTCCTCCTCCTTCTCCTCCTCCCACCCTTCACACAGGCTAAGGAGCCCAAAGCTGTAATCAAGGTGGACACCGTCAACGCCACCTTCCAGCCAGAGAAGATCGGAAACCCCAACGGCCTCCAGATCACGTACCTGAAAGATTACAGCACCCGCAACATGTTCGTCTACCACGAAAACGGCAAGGTCTGTCTGAACACTGTGTGTGTGTGTGTGTGTGTGTGTGTGTGTGTGTGTGTGTGTGTGTGTGAGGATGGAAAATAAATAAATGCAGAGAACAGTGATATTCTGTAAGTGAATCAATACGTCTGCGATCGGATGTGATATTTGTCACCTGAAGGAACAGACGTGTTGGAGATATGTTGATGTGGGCGAGTCTCCAAACCTTTTAAAACCATCAGCTGCGATTCTACTGGCTGATGAGATTCATTAACTCGTGACATTCCTGCTCCACATCCGTCTTCCTGTGTCATTCACACACATTGAAATAGATGGAAGAGCTCAGGGTTTGTCATTATTTGTGGAGTTCAAATCCGACATCTTATGCTTGGTAGTTAAATGCGAAATTGGAACATGATGGTGGAATTCTTAACTGCACATGAATGCTTTTGGGATAGTGAACATTTGATGCTTATCTAGTAGAGTAGACGTCATTTGAACAAGTGATTTAGGCAAATGTGCTCAATTCGTTAGTTTTTGAGCCACAAAAGGAGGTTCTCGGAGAAACAAGAAAACCATAAAAATTAAACTAGAATCTCAATCAAGCTGCACAAAATGTAAAACACTCATAGATACGTGTTCCCTAAACATGTCTGATATTTAAAAAGGAACAACTGTGTCTCTCTTCATCAGGAGATCGTTGACTGGTACAATTCGATTCGTGCAGTTCAGCTTCACTATCTGAAGGTGGCTTTTCCTGGGGCGACAGACGCTGAGGTAAACACAGACACACACAGACACACACAGACACACACAGACACACACAGACACACACCTACTGCTGAGGATAACTGAGATTAAAATGATATCTATATATTTATTTTCTGTCTGTGTTAGTGAAATACAGAAATCCTGTTGGATGGAACTAACTATTAACGTCGTTGGACTCTCTTAATCGTTTTGTTTTGTATTTTGTCGCTTTCAGCTGGTTCCCAAACTCACCCGCAACTTTCTGAAGGAGGGATACATGGAAAAAACAGGACCCAGGGCAAGTAACACACACAGACACACACACACACACACAGACACACAGACACACCCTCTGCGTCTCTGAAGCTGCTGTCAGACATGCACTGATCTCCTCTGCAGGACTTCTCTGCAGGACATGTCTGCAGGACGGCTTGTGTGTGTTTCTGTCATTGCTGCAGCCGAGCAACAGCGCCCCCTGCACCCACACGCGCTGATTCATTCTTTTAAATCGAACCCTGGTTTAACCGTAGATCAAGCTACAAACAATATTTCTATTTAACGAATTTGATCCTCAGCTCTCTCTCTGTGATTCCATCCTCCACTCTCTTGAATGGAAGCTGAGCTGAGAGGAGACTCTCCCAGCTGCCTGACGGACTGAGTGACAGCTGAGACATGTCCGCCTCGCCACCCTTCTGTCCATGCGTCCATTTGTCGTTCTGTCAGACGAGGCTTCCTGCGGAGGATCGACTTAATCCTCAGGTGTCAAACCCTCAAATCCGCTCGCAAAACAGACGCGTGTGTCGAGATTAAGGAAAGTGACAAAGTAAATAAGCAGTTACGCACCGCTGCACCGACGCTTTTATATTAGCACATGCAAACACATGCGGCTGCTTTCTGCCCTCGATTCAGACTGATGCTCCGACACAAGCAACACGAGGAAACCTGATCCTCAGCGACTCAACAGGTTCTGCACTTTAATCCTCGTCTGTCAGGTTGAGAGATGAAAGAACTCGCTGTGTCGTGATTTGCTAAATGGACGTCACCATTTATCTCCTACACATGTGCGAGACATGTCTGTGGAAGGAGTCACCGGTACAATGAGGAGGGAACGACCACAATGAGAATATCACTTTCATGAGAACAATGTGACTAACAAGACGTTAGGCTTTTATATCTTCAAAGACTAATGTCTGGGTTAATGTACTTGAATATTGAGTACTTTGAATCTTATACTTACATTCAAACAAGGAAACTATTCTGTTTATTTTCAATATTTTGGCCGAAAAAGTATATTTTTGACTTGAACAAGACTGTTTCAAGAGTGAAACAACTACGTATCCCACAAACCATTGCGAATGATCCCTTTCCAACGACCTCTCCTTGGATTGAACCTCGTTTCTAATATAGTGTTGCAGTATATCGTATGTTTGTATCTTGTATTTTTGTATTTAGTGTTTCATGTAGTCACTCTGAAGGAATCCGACGTGATTTTCATGTTGGTGGTCAACGACAAGTTGTGGTCGCTACTGCCCCTGAGACTTCTCTAGCCTATTGGTGAACCTTTAACCTATATTATGGCTGATGATCAAAATCTCTATTAAATAATAAACGGAATATGTCTCCTTCAAATTTAGATTGATGATCCGATTTATTTGAAGACATGATTATTAACTGAATGAATAAAACTTTTGATGATCTTCAGATAAGAGGAAATCTGAACCACCTTTGGTTCAATGCTGCTTTCTGTCTTCATGCAGGTTCTCTCTCTCTCTTTGACTTTCTCTGAGTCTCTCGCCCCATGTCTGACTGTGTCCTCCTCTTTTTGTCTCTTCAGCAAACAGAAGGTTTCAAGAAGCGCTGGTTCACCCTGGACCACAGACGACTCATGTACTTCAAAGATCCACTGGTATGACACACACACACACACACACACACACACACACACACACTATGGGATGGATGTAGAGTGAGGTATTTTTTCCATCAAGCAAATTAGATTAAGTAGACGATGCGGGGATATGAAGCCATGACTCAGTGCGGAGAGGACGATATGAGGTTCTTTCTGTTCCGGTGTAACATTATCAAACCTGTCACAGTTTGGAGAATCTCAGAGTGAAGTGAAAACCTGAAGGATAAAGCTCCCAAACCTTTCAGGCCCCGACCCTGAAAATAACAGTGACCAGAGACTCAGGACCTCCAGTATCACAGAGGAAATTACTTTGAGCTGGTTCGCAAAAGAACAAAATCCTGTTTTGCACATGTTGTAATGTACATCAGGGTATTTGGGCCACTCCAAAAGAATAAATGAGAATAAAGTTGTAATAGTATGAGAAAAAGTCATAAATCTAGGAGAATAAAATTGAATTTTTAGGCTACATATCAATTTTGTTAAGCTATACTTTCATTTACGTTTCACAAATATAAGAATATGTAATTTTTTGACACATCAGCACCACATTCTCATGGATCAGGAAATATTGTGAAAGAAACTGTCAGTTCTGAAAAAAGCTTCTCGTAACATTCTGACTATTTCTTGTTAAATTTTTACTTTATTGTCAGAATGTTCTGACTTTTTCTTCTCATAGTTATTTTTTGTAGCAGCTGTGGCTAAGTATGCAGTTTTAAATGGCTTTTAAATTTCCCAACCCATCGTCTGTTTCCCTCGATCTGATATCAGTGTTCAGGTGTCGTGGAAGTGAGACTGTGAGTCAGTGGAAGATTAGAGCGGACTTTTTATCACACAGAGACTTTTTCCGGGGGGGGGGGGGTTAACTGCACATCGGATAACAAAGGCAGATTAGCTGCTGACGTAAAAAGGAGCAATAACTATATGTGCCAAACGAAAAGTCTGATCCACCAGGTGGTATCCTGATTCATGAAACCTCATATTTCCCCTTAGATGTTTTAGTGAACCCCCGACCTTGAAGTTCAAACTGCACCTGTGCTGCTTTGAGTAGAATCTCAACAATGCTCCAGCCGGCCTCTAAAAGCTAACACAATGAAAATGCTGGTAGTTTGACGTCTCTCTCTCTCCACCTGAAGGACGCCTTTGCCAAAGGCGAGGCCTTCTTGGGGAACAGGGACCACGGTTACAGCGTCTCCACCGGGTTGCCCACTGGCACCCACTGCAATGGTGCCTGGCAACACGGCATCACCATACAGACGCCCGACCGCTACTTCCTGTTTACTTGCGAGATGGAGAGCGACCAGCAGGAGTGGGTGAAGCTCTTCAATGACATCATGAGCGTGCCGATGTCCCCTCAGGAGTACACAAGTGAGAATTCAATGGTTTCATGGTTATTAAATGTTATTCAGCCGTTAGCAGCTGATTTGTGTTGACACTTGTCTACGATGCAAACCTCCTCTGCCTCTTTTTCCATGTTCGCTCAGAGCAATCCAGTTCTGGCCACTGAGCAGTTTCAGGGAGGAAGCTGTGGCTGAACTTCCTCTGTGACGGTTTACAGAGGATGAGATTTAGTTTGCAGACTTACAACCTAACCTGCTTCACTCAGTCACCTCAAAGAAAAGAAATGAAAAACACCGTCCGTAATCTCCCATAGATTAAAACTAAAGTCCTCAAATCACCTTCATTATTTAAGTTGCAATGATGTTAAACACGTCTCGTTAACAAAAGCAGCACGGTAACTTTTGCATAAACTGTCCTCCATGGTAGCTGTTGCCTTGCTAACACCCACATGATCACACGGGAGCAACGTGAATGTTTTGCATGTTTACTGTGTTGACACGTTATCATGCTAATGTTTGCAAATTAGCACCCAATACGAGCTGAGGCTGCTGGGAATTAAACCATCAGAAAATATAATATTTACCCAATGATACTTGAATTGTTATAATTGTTATAATCTATGAAATGTATTGTATTTGTGTTTATTTAGATCCCCATGCATTTTAACAGTGGCTACTCTATTTTGGTTTTCAGACAGTACTTCTACATATTCGTATCATTTATCCGGACTGAAGACTCAATAACAACACGTAAAACAACCACGACAACATGTAGTAACTAATATCTCTTCACATATAGCTCAGTATCAGTATAAGAAAATAACCCAAAGCACTAAGTACCAAATTAAAAAAGGGATCATATCCACAACACGTCTTCAAGATCAACAAAACAATGAATCAGATCCAGGTACGCAGTATTTTCTTTCTCTAATATTGGGCTCATGTGTGTTTTTTAGTGGAGGCCATGTTCAAACACAGGCCCTGATGGAGCAGAGGCCCAGACGTCTCCTCTCAGTCCTTCACCGATCTGACACTGGACCCGCATCAGCTCTGGCTCCCTCTGTAGTTTGGGGGAAACTTGAGTGTCGTCACATACATGGTCACACTGGAGGTCGTTGCTGATAATATGAGGTTAACAATGCAAACAAGAGGACCAAGGCACCTTTCAGGCAGAAATATAAAAGGCCTAAAGAAATATTAATTATCATTTTATTGAGTTTTGTTGTGTTTTCGCTCTGTCAAACATTCAGGACAGAAGTTACACAAATATCTATCCGGAGCTTTTATTATTAGACGTCACTCTCGATCTGTTCAGACTCATGCAAACCAACTATGTGAACCATGTGCCTGTGGATTTAATTTTTTATCATGATAAAGAAATTTTTTCGTGTTTTAGTTGATACGAGATTTAAGAAAAACTTGAAAAGGTGAGAAGAACCTTGATCCTTTCATTGAATGCATTTTATACAGATGTGATGTGATGAAATGGTTCTTACTACAGACTGTAATTAAAGACGGACGACACAATGGCTCCCCAAAGGTTATCCACCAGTGCTTCACAGTACAAGTCACTTTCATGCACACGTTCACGCAGGACTTGTGCCTGCAGCACTGGTTCTATCACACCGTGGTACAGCTGTCAGGGGATGTAGGACCACCGACCTTCTGGTTAGCGGACGACCCGTCCTGAGCCACCGCCGCTGCTCTTGTGCTCGATGGCAGCGTTTGACTTATTGGCTAGTGGACATGTGTCCTCCGTCTTTATTTACAGTCTTTGATTTAATAAGTTACACGGAGTCAAATGGGTCAAACAGGTGCAGAAAACATTTGAGTCAGTGCTGAATTCAGAATTCATTTTTATTTCTCTCTCTTTTTTTTTTTTTT